GTAGAAGAGCCTGCATACTCTTCCTGGCTCGTGGGACTATGGTGTGGTACTCATGCCAGTATTACTTGTGGTAACCATGACTAGTACCACTAACATTCACTGTGAACTTGTGAAATTCTACACACATTTCTAAAGGCTTTATGAAACTCAGTTAATCCTCATCAAACAATGATGAAACATTGCTCACAAAGGCTAAGTCACTTATCTGAGATCAAACAGCAAGTAATGAAGAGAGGCAAATCCATGCAAGCTAGAGCCTACATCTTAAACACTCATACTGCTGTTTTTTATGATGAATGGGTTTATTTTGATTTTTTTCTCTCATGTGTATTTTTCTATAGGTGTTAGCCTTAGATGAGGAGAATGACTAGTAATTTAGACATTCAGTTATTTTTGTCACAAATTTACTTCCAATTTATAGAAGCAAGGGAAACGGTCTTAATTTAGTTCAAATAGTATAAATAAACTTTTATGAGATAAGAGTTAATTTCCATAGAAGTACTTAAAGACTCCTTACTAAGGTGGGTGTTTAAAATTCCCAAATGCATTAGCAAATTGAGAAAATAAAAGTACACTTCCAACAAGATGAATTGTTTTATGCTGTTACAATGCTTACTGACTGAACAATCAGCAGGACAAAGTAAGGCTAAAACTATCCATATTTTTAGGTTGACAATACTTTCTCAAAGCTCCATGATAGCAAGGATCATCACTTTACCTTTGAATCAATAGTCTGCTTTGCTCAATAGATATGCAATGAATCTAATCCTCAAAATTACAGAGCACAAATGAAGCCCAAATAATTACATTAGAAAAGGGATTAATCTTCTCAGGCTCTTTCTGGATTAATAAACTTAAAAACACAGGAAAATTTTTAGATTTAGTGATACACTGTGAGAATAACTTAACCTAACTAAACCTGAGTCACATGAGTCAGAGAGCGTATGTAAACCCTTCACACCCCTTGCTTTGGAGCCCAGCACCACCCACTTCTGTAATGCCATCAGAAACAGTCACAGAAGTTCTTACGTGGGCCAAATGGATCTTTTCATTGCTTGGAAACCCCGTTCATGTGCCTTTTCAAACTGCTCCATTCTCTCCCGTGCTGCCTGTTTTTGTAGTTCTTCTAATCGTTTAGCTTCTTCTTCAGCAGCCAAATGAGCATCTGGCTAGCAGTCAATAACATTTTAGATAATTTTTTTTAAGTGTGAAACAAAAAAATTAACTGAAAAACAAAACTTTAAAAGCGTGCTTTCTATTCATTTAAAATTAAAAAAATAAGCATTCTATTAATAAATGCCCACAATTATCATCAGCTTATACACATACAAAGGATCAAATTGCTAGTATAAAGTCTTATAAATTCACTTCAAACTAGATTAGGCTTTGTTCATCCAAATACATTCCCCCATGTTTTTTTTTTTTTTTTTTTTGTGGTACTGGGGTTTGAACTCAGGGCCTTATGCTTATTAGGTAGGCTCTTTACCACTTGAGCCACTCAGCCAGCCCTTTTTTTGTGTGTTGGCTATTTTTAAGATAAGAGTCTGGAGAACAATTTGCCTGGGCTGGCTTTGAACCATGATCCTCCTGATCACTGCCAACTGAGTAGCTAGGATTACAAGTGTGGGCTACCAGCACCCAACCTTCCATACTTTTAAAGTAAAGAAACACCAGTAAAATGACAATACTGTAGGTAAACACCCACAACCATCTAAGGCTGTGTAAGTAATTTAGAGCGCGCAGATTTGATTTTGGTTTCTAGCCAACGCCGGCTGCGTGTCTTCACCTGAGAAGCACCAGAACACCTACTTTAACAGAAATGGTAGTTTCTAGACTTATGCATAACCAATGACCACGCCTTTATGCAAGTCTTCACCTCTTAACATGACAATCAAACCAGGATTTTTTCTCATTACCTAAACATTTACTTTCAAATATAGGCAACATTTTAAATGTAACTACGAGTGGAAGTTTTTTCATACGCTGTATGCTGAAATTCTATGAGTCAACTGAAACAATAAGAAATGACCACAAAAGCTATGAACACTGTATATAAAATTAAAACTCAAATAGTGAGATAGATTAGGTAAAGAGACTGATGGCTGATAAGAGTGCACTAGACAAATAGATTTATTAAAAATATTCTGTTTTGAGCCAATAAATATTTATGCAAATCTAAGTAACACTAGGCAAACAGAAAAAGGTTAGAGTAAATAAAATTATAATCTCCATAGAATTAGTGTATTAACATGCATAACATTAAACAAAATAACCTTGAAGAACAATATTTCATTCCACTCAGTCCATGAAGTTTTCAAGAAAAAAGTTTTTAAGGAATTCTTCATCTCTCTTAAGAATTCATTGAAAGCAGAGTATCAATTTCGATAAACCAAAAATTTAAGAGGATAAACTTTGAAATAGCATACAAAATGGATGATAAGTATGTCCAATTTGGAGATAATAAAGTATATAAGAATATGAAGAAAATAAAGCATTACAAAATAGAGGGGCTGGAGTTGCTCAGGAACAGAGACTTGCCTAGCACTCACAAGGCTCTAGGTTTGATCAACAGCACCACAAGGGGGAAAAAAAAAAAAAGAAATCAAGATCTGTAAACAAAGTTTGTTCTCAGTTAACAAATTTGAAAACAAGATTTTACAAGAATGCTTTATGGAGAAAAACTCTTGTAGAACTTGTGCTAATATAATTAAAATTTAAACAAAAATCTGGTTGAAATAATGAAAATTTCATTTTTAATAGTTGAAGGTGAAAGAGGTGAAATTTGCAAAAACTATGAATGTCAGTCAAAAAGAGTATGTTAGGGGCCAGGTGCAGTGGCTTATGCCTGTAATTCCAGATACTCAAGAGGCAGAGACAAGGAGCATCACCATTCAAGGTCAGCCTCAGTAAAAAGTTAGTAAAACTAACTTTGTGGGAGATGTAGGTAGGAGGATCAAGGTTCAAAATACAAGACCCCATCTGAAAAATAACGAAAGCAAAAAAGGCTGGAGGCATGGCGCAAGTGGTAGAGCACCCGCCTAACAAGCACAGGCCCTGAGTTCAAGCCCTAGTAACTTAACACTTCCCCCAACAAAAGAATTTTTTTGAAAACATGCTCTGACAAAGTGCATGAGTTGTATTCTGCAGTGCACAAACGGAAGTGACGGTCGCTTTCACTGTCCTTCTTTAGCAAAGACAAATGTATTGACAGCAGGCCGCTTTCACTGTCCTTCTTTAGCAAAGACAAATGTATTGACAGGCAAGAGATCTTGGAATTTCTTTCACAGTATATTCAAAAAGCCTCAAAGCCACAATATCAACTCTTACATGCTGAGAAGGCTAAACAAGCCAAAGTAGTTCATTTACAATCTATCCAAACATGCAAGCCAAGAATGAAACTATTTTTATATCACACTTGCTATAAGATCATAAAATTCTGCTCCCGGGAAGATGCAAAATTATTGTGACATAAGCTGAGATACATATTAAAGTTCAAAGATAATTTTATCTTGGAAGTCAGCATATTGCCTGTTGTCACATTTTAAATTCAAGGTTTAAGGATAGATTTTTTTTACCTAAGTGATTGTGTAAAGCAACAAGTAAAATACCAGGATAAACTTTGTAAAATCATATATGTGTTCTTGAGAATATTCAGAAAGCAACTTCCTTCATGACTGCATGAAGCTCTCATTTGTGGGACTACTTTACAACTACTGATCCAAAGACTGAAGGACAAAGGTCTTCTAGCTGCTATCAAAAGAAAAGATTAAAGACAAATGCAATAGCAGCAGTAACCTATACTGACGGAGATGGGGGAAAAGTCTTTCTTCATTAGTATCAGCTAAAAGGCAGCATCTATCTAATATTGCAAAAATACACTACCCAAAACAGGTTTCTCTTGTACTATAATGATATTGAAATCATAATAATATTGTACAATTTTAAATAAATCTCAGATCTAGTCTTGAGCCTTATAAGCTCATTCTATGATGATGGTACTCATCTTAAGTATTAACTGCTATTCATCAGTCAACCAAAATATGTAATTGTTGCACTCTGGCAAGTGCTCTAACACTTGAGCAATGACCCTCACCCCTATTTATTGCTTTCTAAATGCAAATGCTATGCTGATAAGTTACTTTTCTAGTAGCCAAATATATACAACATGAAAAATATTCAGATCCACTGTTTACAAAGACATAGCAATTATAATAAGAATATATCATTTGTCACTTTGAAGATGGCAACAATTTTTAATCCGTAATTCTATGCAGCCATTCTCATGTATTGCTGATACTTTTTAAAAGGCAATCTTTTGATCTGTATCAAATGTTACAGTTTAGAACCACAGATTTCTCATCTAGGAACCTACTCTTAACATACAACTAGATGCAGATATAAATGTACAAGACTATTACATTTAGAGTATTTAAAGAAGCAAAAAGACAATTAGAATGATGAAATATTATGCATCTGTTAAAAATCATGTTTTGAAAAGTATGTGTACATGTTTGTGTATGAAGACAAACTCTAATTCATTAAGATATTAACCATAATTGCTCTTTGGTGATGGAAACATTGGTACTTTTCCTAGCTTATGTTTATGTGTTTGTGGAAAAACTTTCACAAAGACCACGTATTATTTTGATAAAGTTTTAAAATCTCTTTTATGCCATAATGAAAGCCATTATTTTGTACAATTAATGCATGGTAAGAAAATCTATTTTAATAGATATCAATCTAAATAATCATCTGCTTTCTTCTATTTATATAAGACCATAACACACCTAACATGAAAAGACAAAGCATATTTAAAGAGGTTTTTTATACTTGTCAACCTAGGATGGTTAGTGGGACTGTTCAGATTTTAAAATTTGGCAACAACAGACACAGAACGACAATATAAATCAATTCAGTGATCAAAGAAGTAATAAAGTGAAGGTATGAAGAAAACAGTAAGTCAATCACCTGCTTTGTGTCCATCTGTCTGTTCACAAAAGTAGAAATATGATGGTAAGTAGAGCTATTGGTTTTCACTGAAGAAATTCTTTTCACTTCAATGTTCTGGAAAAATGGAACATAAAAAAATAGATGCTTAGGTTAAAAGCATTGTTACTTAAAGTTGGATCCAATGGAAAAAAAAAAGTATTTTAATCAGTGCTTAGTAGGTCCTCATTAGGATATATTAAGAAGTAGAGTTGGTGGCCGCTGGGAGGTGATCAGGGGTCTCCTCTCATGAGTGAGGTCAGTGAGTTACCCCAGAATGAGTCCACAATACAAGGCAGTTTGGCACACTTCTTGTTTATGGCCATGTTAGTCCTCCAACAACCTGGAACTCTGCCGGCCAGAAAGCCATCACCAAATGCAGCCCCTCAAAACCTGAACCACAATGTCTCTTCTCTTTATTATTTACCTAGTCAGTGGCATTGCATCATTAGCAGCAGAATATGGATTAAGACAGTAAGTTAACCTCATTCAAGTAAGTGAAAAGTCTGCTCACAGTAAAAGACATCTCTTTTTCCACAGTTAAGTTATTTCAAATTTTAATGAAAGTATCAGATCTCTAGTACTTTAAAACATCTTCTAGGTATCTTTAATACAATCGGTATCTTTTACTTCAGAAGTTCACTTCAACTTTATTTAAAGAAACAATTTGTTTTGCTAGTTTTCTCCCCTAGCAAAAATGACTGAGTCCAGAACCTTGTCCTTTGCTAAACAGGTGCTCTTCCACTGAACTACATCTCCAGCCTTAAGATATTTCTTGTAGAGTCTCTCTTTCATTGCCCATGGCCAGCCTCAGACAACAATCCTCTTACTTATTACCTCCCAAGAAGCTTTGACTACAGATGCACACCACTATGACCAGCTTACTGATTGAGAAGGGGTCTCAATAACTTTTTGCCCAGGCTGGCCTCAAATTGTGATCCTCCCCAGTAGCTAGAATTACAGGCAAGAGTTCCCAAGCCCAGCAAGTACTTAATTTTAAATCTTCCCAATAAAAAAGTGTTTATAGGACATGTCAAATCAAATTATAAGCACCTCGCTACATTAATTTTTTTAAAAAAGGCCCACACTATCAGGACCCTTTCCATGTCTAATCACAAAAAGTCCACTGTAATTCAGATTGGTTTCACTTCTCAATGTTTAATGATGCAATTTAAGCTATACTTAAGAGCACCAATTCCAGAACAGAACAACTCTCAAAAAAGGTGAAGTAAACTACTTCTCCCCTTTCCTGTAAGAGTGCATTTGGTCATCGACAACAGTTTATTATGTACTAGTACCTAACTAAATCAAGTGAACTAATAAGAAGTTTCTTAAGTGTCAACTATGTGTTAAAATGGTAAATGATATTGAAAAGTAAAATAATGGCCCCTGCCTTCAAGGAGCTCAAATGGTTCTGATAATCAGTTATATCAGTGACGTTTTGTACACAACACAATGAGAACAATGTTCACGAAGGAATGCTGACACTTCAGCTGAGTCCCTTCTGCACTAGACTACAGCAGAGTTCTGTAACCTCTCTGTTCCTCGTCTTCTCAAGTAAAGTAGGTTCACAGCAATCCCTATAACTTATGGCCATTGAGACAGCTACTGTAGCTATCAATAATGTATGAGAAAACACTTGTAAACACCAGATAAACTCTGGTTCTCTCACATTAAGGACTGTGATCAGGTTAACACTTGATTTTCAATTTTCCTCACCTGTGACATGGGATAATTTCTACCATGCACAGCTATTGTGGTGATTTAACGAGATACAACTAAAATAATAAATACACAGTTAGTGCCCATTCTCTCCACCATGGAACAGTTCTCTCGTAAGATTTTAGTCTATAAATAGTGTTATTTTTGGGATTGCTTGAAGATTTTCTTCACTTGTGAAGACTAAAAAGTTCAGATCCATTTCCCCAGGTTTCTCAGCATTCATATTTTTATAAGCTTGGAGGAATAGTGGTACAGACATGCCGATCTCCTGACTGTATGACGTAAGCTACTTATAGGGTACACCTCCTTGGTCCCTAAAATGTTTTATAATTTAGTCTTTCTTAGACCAAAATCCTTTACTTCCCTGCCACACCATATGTTCACATCCAACTCAAATTATACAGAAGACACTGCTTTCCCTAACACCTTTATAGGCATGGATAATGGACTCCTTTCTAAAATAATGTTTTTTAAGTCAAATATGAACACAACCCAGATCTTAGTTTATAAGTGTCATTTCTCCTCTAAGAAGAAGCAGGACTCTTTGTAAACACCAGAAATGGGATCCAGTAAGTTCATAGTAAAGAAGTGCTCAAATAGGAAGGAGGACACAGAGCCAGCCTGGAAAGTCTCCTACTAACAAAATTTCAGACACTAAAACATCAGAAAGAAAAAGAATAATCACTATTATAATATTATAATGACTATTATAATAACTATGTAATACTGAATAAATAAAAATCCACAGGTCCACAGTGATATTCACAAAAGAGAAAAAAAAACTGCCATCACTGGATTATTCCACCGATCCTTTACTCTAAAAGTTGGTTAAGGGGAAAAAAGTATGCCCGTCTTCTTAAAAGAGCTGAACTCCATTCTACTGACCAAAGAGAGCTCTCTTTCTTCTTTAAAACAAAAGTAGGCCAATTAATAAATGCAGAAGGATGACAGATACCTAGCCAGTTACCAAAGCATCACCTCACAAATTACTTGGTAACTGGAAAGGGAAACATATGACTTTCTGATGGAGAGCTCTCACAGTTGCAGCCATAACTAGTGATCAAACGGGAGCAACTGGCCATTCTGTACTTTCTGATGCGATGCATAAACCTATTCAGCCTCACCTGTATAGTATTATCGCCAAAAGACAATCAAACCTTTAAACCTAACTTTCAGTGTCATGAAAATGCAGCGCACAATTTCACATGAAAACAAGACAAGGGAAGAAGTGAGAAACTCGTGTAGTCTCTTCAAAGAGTCTGAAATAGGAAACCCGCTAATTTGTACAATTTAAGGCACACTAATGAAAACCATTATTTTATACAATTAACATATGCTAATGGAAAAAGATTCTAAAATGAGAATTTGGCTAGCACTGCAAAGAAAATGTTCTAGTCTAAGATAAACCAAAGAGATAAACCAAACAGAAGCAATGTGAGAGTCTAGAGCACAGCCTCATTTAAAAACAGGGAAAAGCTGTAAGGCAGGACAATCAGAGTTTAGATTATGGATGGAAATTAAATGGAATTGAGGTATTAATGCTAATTTCTTAGAGTGATGAATGTATTATGATTGTGTAAGAGAATCCCCTATTGTAAGAAGCATGCTGAAGTATTTAGGATGAAACGGTACCTCTGCATTCACATTAAATGTGTACACATATATATACAGTTATCTGACTGAAGTCTACACACAATACAAACAGGCATTGGTTATATTCTTTTTTTTTTTTTTTTTGAGGTACTGGGGTTTGAACCCAAGGCAGGTACTCTACCATTTGAGCTACTCCAACAGCCCAATTACTATATTCTTAACTTTCCTATACTTTGAAAATTTTCATGAGAAGTTGAAAGAAAAAAGGACAACAACATACCCGCATATAATTCATACCTACAAATCACTTACACACTTATTTTCTTTTGTACGTTTTTAATCTTGGCTTGTTATGAATATTAGGAATAAGACAAAGGTAATCAAAAGGCATCATGAATAAAACACTGCCTGCCTTTTTATAATCCTGCCTGGCGCTGAGGGCATGGCTGAAATAGGACTCCTCCATCTGAACCTTGTTGGACCAAATGCAACACAGCAGATGGCTCAACACAAAAGCAGAAAGGCTGACAAAGTGGAAGACCTAGAGAATATCTGGGACTTATGCTAATTAGACACACATAAAATATACTTGTATATACAACCACATTAGACATCCATGTATTGTGAAGGTATTCTTTTACTTCTGCTTAAGTTTTGAGATAACTGCAATTTTGACAACCATATAAATAGCCATGTCAATAACCACAAAAACCAAATATGAACAAGGAAACCAACACTTTTTTTTGGAGATGGGGGCTGGTCTTGAATTCGCCATAATCCTGTCTCAGCCTCCTGAGTGCTGGGATTACAGGCTAATGCCAACGCTCCGGGCTCCAATACTTCTTAAAGTTAATTGCTATTTTTATTAACAATTCTCTTAAAAATGAGTTTCAATCACAAAAGCACACATTTTACTCATATAAATAAATCCCTCTCATTACTCATAATATTTGAGCAGATTTTTAAAGTATCTGAACCGTAATTTCTTTTTTCTTTTTTTTCTTCTATTAGTGGTACTGGGGTTTGAACTCAAGGCCTTGCACCTGCTACCCAGGCACTCTACCACTTGAGCCACGCCCCTAGCCCTTTTTGTTTTAGTTATGTTTTGAGCAGGGTCTCAGGTTTATGCCTGGGCAGTCTGGACTGCAATCCCAGCTAGGGTGATAGGCAAGCCACACATGCCCAGTATTTATTGTTCAAGATGGGGAGAAGGGGTGTCTCACAACTCTTTGGCCCAGCTGGCCTCAAAATGCTATCCTGTGTTCTCCGTGTACTAGGATTACAAGTGTGAACCACCACTCCATAATTTATATTTTCAGAGCAAGAAATCCATAGTGTGGAAAAGTCTGCAGGAAAATGAATGCAGTTTTTTTAATCACAGTACATGAGAAAATAAAAGGACAGAAATGTTAATAGCCTTCAAAAAGCCAACCCCAAGCCACATACTGGTGGCTCACGCCTAGCTACTTGGGAGACTAAGATCAGGAGGATCATGAGACCAGTCCAGGCAAATACTTTGAGAAAGCCCATCCCTAAAATCATCAGAGAAAAACAGACTGGATGTGTGGTGCAAGTGGTAGAGTGCCTACTTTGCAAGCATGAAGCCCTGAGTTCAAACCCCAGCCCTACCAAAAAAAAAAAGAAAAAAACGGAAAATCATAGGTGTAGATACATGTCGATAATCCTAATTACTCAGGAGGTCTAAATCAGGAGGATCATGGTTAGAGGCCCACTGGGACACAGATTTTTAGAGACCCCATCTCAACAAACAAGTCACACATGGTGGTGCGCACTGTATCCCAGCTATGCAGAAGGCGTAAGTAGGAGGCTCAAGGTCTGAGGCCACCCTGAAAAATACTTAAAAGGGCTGAGGGCATGGCTCAAGTGGCAGAACACTCGCCAAACAAGCACAAGGTCCAAGTTCAAACCCAGCACCAAAAAAAAAAAAAAAACACAACAACTTAACAAAAAAAGCCGAAACCACTAGTTTTTCAAACAAGCAAAAAAACTGAGCCCACTGGGGAAAACTGAACACACACTGGGCATTAAATAATACTGAGCAAACTATGAATATTATGTTTTTATTTAATTTATCTATCTATCTATTTATTTTGGTGGTACTGGGATTTGAACTGAGACTTCACACTTGCTACACAGGCATTCTACCACTTGAGCCATTCTGCCAGCACTTTTTTTGTGTTGGTATTTTCGAGATAGGGTCTCAAGAACTATTTGCCCAGGCTGGCTTCAAACCACGATCCTCCTGAACTCTGCCTCCTGAATAGCTAGGATTACAGGTGTGAGCCACAGGCACCCAGCTGTTTTTGTTTTATTTTTAAAAAGTCTATACATCAGAAGTACATACTGAAGGTGAAATAATACCTAGGATTATTTTAAATACACCAGATACACTTATGTGTTACTTATACAACCACAGATTAAGTTTAAACAAATGATAATTATGTTTACCTCCAATAAATTTTAATAGTAAAGAATTATTATATGCTAGTGCTTTTCAAAACTCAAAGCAATTCACCTCAAAAGGAGCTGGAAGAGGCAGCGGCAGACTTGTTATTTTTGCAGATCTCTCTTTTTCCACAAGCAGTGCTTCCTTTCGAGCTTGTATATGCCTTAAAAACAGGAGATGTCATCAATTAGTCTCTCAGAGTTAAAAACATAAAAGCCATTGACTGGACTGAAGATGTCCTCCAGTCTGATCCCACCAGCTCAGTATGCTGTTTAATAAAGTCAGTATGTGTAAGCATGTTTACCACCTGAAAGAGGCATCTCTAAAGACACAAAGCTCCAGGGAGGAGACCCGCTCGACAAACAGCTACTGTTCATTAGAACAGTTACAGCACAGAAATGTTGATAAAGATGGACAATTGCATAGAATGACCACTGCACACCACTAACAGATTCCTAATTTTTAAAACATGCATAAAATACTAAAGACTTCCTCAAAGTCTACAACCTCATTTAGTGTTCTTAATCACATAGATTTTATGTTTCTTTTACATCAGGAACAGATATTAGGAGGTACGTGCTCTGAACTGATCACAGAAGCTCAGACCACAACTGGAAGAGGAAGCTCACTTTGCATGTTCACCTAAGTAAGCCACTCACCCACTGCATTATTTTTAAACCCAGCTTTAACAAATGCAATGGACATACTACATGACTTTTATCTAATATCTGCGTTCACAGCATCCTGTGTGCCCTCTATTCCAGCTCTCTTACTGTCAGTAGAAAATAAGGCAAAAATTATTACCAGGTTTTCTGTTTCATTAATATTTCCTTTTGATTTTTTTGTACTTTCAGGGCTTCCTTATGTCTCACTTCTGCTTTTCTTTTCCTTTCTGCTGCCCGCAGTGCCAGAGCATCCAAATCAGGTTCCTAAAAGTAAACACCACTTAAAATGCTACTGAAACAAGATGAATAGAAATGCATCTATTTGGCATCAGAATAGAAGTGACTTTTCGATTTTGTCACTGCTCCCTCCACACTACTACAGTATTTCGCAAAGTATGGCAATGGTACCACAACATGCCATATCAGGAGGGACAAACAGAAACAAGTTAAAATTAATATAGTCATTTAACTTACTACAAAAACCTAAATAAAAGATAATTCTAAATACTTAGGACAAGAGTTAACTAATAAAAGAATCCACTTAAATTAAAATGCCAAATACATAGTAACACGCATGGCTCCCCAGCTAGGGAAGTATCATATAGATGCCACTTAAATGACTGAGGTTCAGGACTGGAGGCATGGCTCAAGTGGTACAGCACCTGCCTAGCAAGCATGAGCACCAGGCCCTGTGTTCTACACACAGTATTAACTTAAAATGACTGAGGTCTGGGGGGGAAAAAAACTGCACTAAAGCACAAAGTTAGAGGTGGCATGCATAAAGCCAGAAAAATTTGATGTCAGAACTTAGGGCTATTACTGAAAGCATAGATTAAAACCAGGGGCAAAGACACAGGCTGCCACATTTAAAAAAGATTTGTATTTGTTTTCTTCGCTAATTGTTATAAAAGATTTGTCTATCTTGGAACCAGCCTGTTTATTGCATTATTGACTCTGAGACCATAAATTTTCTTTCTTCTTCTTCTTTTCTTTTTGGTGTTAATGGGGTTTGGCAGTACTGGGTTGTCTCTTTGTGTTGGGGATTTTCAAGACAGGGTCTAACTATTTGCCTCGAACTGTAATCTGATCTTTGCCTCCCAAGTTTCTAGGATTACAGGCACAGGCCACCAGCGCCTGGCAGTACTAGAGTTTGAACTCAGGGCTTCAAGCTTGCTAGGCAGGCATTCTATCACTTGAGCCACTCCATCAGCCAAAATATTTTCTAACTGAAGTCAAATAAACAAATGAAAATAAAGTCAGTGAACAGTCTTAAATATTGAGTTTTACTTGGCCTTTCTAAAAATCACTAAGCAATTTTTACTATTTGTGAATGAAATCCAAGTGTATATATATTCACCCATACATATTTGAAATTGGTAATCCAAATTTACTCTCCTGAATCTGTCCAAAATGCTTAATATGAACAACTTCTACTTCAAAAGGTTATACAGATAGATAAGAACTGGAAGGGAATAAGGCTAATTTAATCATAGGAAGAAATATTTTACTTGACATGGATTTTACTTAACATGATTTTCTAAGAAATGAACATATTATTATTTTCAAATTATATTAAATTAATAAAGAAGTCTCAGGCTGCCCAAAACAAATTTGATACACAAAAATATTCTTATCTTGAGCATTCAACAAATGCAATTTATCTTGAAATCATATTACTGCTAAAATCAGGTAGTCAAAGAGGCTCACTCACATTTTCTTTGGCTTGTCGATGTCCTTCTCCCATATTTCTTAAACTTCCCAAGTACAGTTTTTCCAACTTTTGTATTTTCTGAGTGTGTGAGTTTTCCCATTCTGCCCTTAGCTTGTCTGCCAAACGAGTAAATTGTTGATTTCTTCTCTGTTTTATGTCTTCTCTTATTTGCAAAGCAATGTCTCTTTCTTGTTCTCGAACCTGAAGGATGAATATTTCATGTATTATGAAGGAGGCTTAACCCAATAACCTATAAAAGGCTAGATAGTAAACATGACTTGACAAAATTCACAGCTCAGAGTACAGCTAGAATCAGACAAGAACTTCATTTCTGAGGTACACCATCTCTGATTCTAGACAGAATAACACTTAAAACATGCTTCATGAAGATTTAACTATTCTACACTGCAGGATAATAACCTGTAACTTCCCAATAAATGCTTCTTAAATACCTTCTTTAAAGTTATTTTAAGCTTTCTGTTCTTATCTTTGCTGACTTCAGATCATTTAAAACTATGTAAAAAACTATTTCCAATATTTATTGAGTCAAATGATACCTGTCCCCCAACTCTTCTTCGGTGTACCTACCACATCAGCCTATCTTTTGAAATGTTCCAAACCTGGTTAATACACAAGAACCAGGACTCTATACAGTTTTTTTTTTTTAAGGGTTTGAACTCAGGGACTCCTGCTTGCTAGGCAGGCAGGCACTCTACCATCTGAGCCCCTTGCCAGCTCTAATTTTTTTGTATTGGGTATTTTCAACATAGGGTCTTGAACACTATTTGCCCAGGTTGGGCTTCAAACCATAATCCTTCTGTTCTCTTCCTCCCAATTGGCTCAGATTACAGGCATGAGGCTCCCCCGCACCTTTTACACAGCTTTTAAATACAACATTTCATTTAGAATACTCTAATGTAAAAAAGAAAATTATTTGAGGAAGACAAAGAGCTTAAAGCTTCATTCCAAATAAATCATACCTGTAGCAATCTTAGTTTTCGTCTTCTTTCATAATCTTCCTTCAAAATGCAGGCTTCCTCGTTAGGACTCAATCTTAGCTTGCCAGCATCACTATCTTTCTTTTCATTTCTGTGTACTTTAAATAAAATGGATCTAAATTTTTTAAAAAAGAAAAATATCAGTAAAGAGATATATTATTGAAATAGGACAACAGAAGTTTAAATTATTTTAAAATTAATATTCTTTTACTATAAATACACAATAAATGTGGGTGAATAGTAAAAAGCCAGCTTATTTACAAATGGCATTTATCAATCCAGTCTTCAGATCTCAGGTTCTCAGATAGGTGGGAACTGCTCAGTAAAGTGCTTCCCCATCTATAGCGCACTGTACTTAGAGTATCTGGACCTGTCTTATTCCTGACTGGCATTTCCAAAGTTTACTTAGCTAAAATGGAAAAACGCAAAAAGACTTAAAGAGATGTGTTAACACAGAAAAATGTTCTCTTACCACTGACAACCTGTGATGACCAACAAGAGTAAGGTAATTTTAGGGGCTCCTGGCTGCTAGACTCAGCTCCTGGGTCTAGATAGATGTAATTTGATCACAAGCATCATTGTATCTCATGTAATCACATCAATGCCATGACTTACTCTATAGTAAAAGATTCTTCAATAATTACAATGGTGTGATTTTTAAAAATCAATGATATTAGAGCCTGTGTTACAATCATTCTGTTTGGACCCATGAAGTGTTTAGATTTCCTTATCTATTCTATCACTACTTTTATTCTCAGATGCTCTCATCCTTAGATTTTTCTTTTGATGGTCCTGGAGTTTGAACTCAGTGCCACACCCAACACTGGTTTTGCTTTAGTTACTTTTGGGATAAGGTCTAACCTAGACTTTGAGTCTCCTATCTATGCTTCCCATATATAGCTAGGTTGGCAGGCATGTGCTACTATGCCCAGCTTTTATTGGTTGAGATGAGAATCTCACAAACTTTTTGCCCAGGTTAGCTGTGAACCTCGATTCTCCTGATCACCATCTCCCTAGTAGCTAGGATTACAGGCATATTTAGGCCAGCCCTCTCTCTCCTAGATTTTACTACCCCTCTCTCTGGAGGAAGGCGGTGGGAAGAAATGGAAAAAATGTGAATCTATGATTTGTATAATTTGAAAACCTTTCCAAAGTAATCCTGATATCAATTTGTTCCCATTATCACCATTTCCAAAAAAATCCACATTAGAATAGTTCTACTTGGATAGTTAATACACTCTGTGATTTTATCTGAGATAAGTGAACACTTTGCATATGTAAAAATTCCTCAAATGGTACAATGAGATCTGTGTATTTTATTCTAAATTATATCTCAATCTAAAGGAAAAACAAAAAAAAAGAAACCTTGCTTTTCAGGTTGTTTTGAGTATCCATTATCTCATTTGTAAGAATTATAACAGAATGTATGCACATTTCTTATTTTTAGAACCTAAGACATTTCTTATTTTTAGCACCTAAGATATGAAAGATGTTTTGTGTATAATTAAAATTTTTTAACTTATTTAAAAATAACTTTAGACTTAGTATTTCCATATACCATCTCCCCCATTCTGTAAATATTAACAGCTTACACACTTATAACCAGGAAAGAACACTCACATAATACTTTTAAACAATCTGCACCTTATCCAAATGTCAATTATCCCACTACTGTCTATTTTCTGGTATCCAATCTTGGACGTTTCATTATTGCATAACTCTGGGTCCTATAAGAAGCAAACATCAAATTGGATTAAACTCACAGGATTAAGGGAAATGCCTGTGTGAGAGAAAAGGGGAGGGGGTGGGGGGTTGAGAAAAGCTGAAAGCACCCTGGACATCAAAGCAAATCTGACACTGAGTAAAGGAAAGACAGGAGTACCTCTTAGTGATGCTGTCTAAGAAAGGTTCAGAGAGACCCTTGGGAAGTTTCTTGAAAACAAGCCTGCCTTAGCATCCCTGTCACTGACACTGGCTAGGAACAGCCCATGGGATGTGCTGCCTCCACACAAATAGGTTTTGGAATACAAGAACCAAAGTTGTGAGTTACAGTCCCATGACTGCCAAGATTGTTGGTCTCCCCTAATATGAGACATTTCCTCAGTCTTTCACTTCAAAACCCAGACATTAAAACAAAAAAAAAAATAGCAACAACAACAAACACCTGGCCAGTTACTTTGTTCAGTGTTCCTCAATCTGAATTTGTCTAATTTTTTCTTGTGACAAGGCTGAGAGTACACATTTCAGGTTAAGAATTATGAATTAGTCAGCCCTGTGCAGTGGATTACTTACACCAGTAATCCCAGGCACTTGGGAAGCAGACTTCAGGAAGACCGTGGTTTGAGGTCAGTCTGGCAAAAAGTTAGAGACCTCATGTCAAACAATAAACTAGGTATGGTGGTCACTCCCACTGTGTAGGATCAAGAGGCATACATAGGGGGACAGATCTAAGGCCGGCCCTGGACAAAAATGTGAGACTCTATCTGAAAAATGAGTAAAACAACAAGGGCTGGAAGTATGGCTCAAGTGGTGCGCTGCCTGGCAAGTGTGAGGATCTGAGTTCAAACCCCAGTTACGCCCACCAAAACCAAAACTGCACAGAAGTGGTGATGCACCTTTCCCAGTGCATCAAGTCAGGAGGCAAATGATGTTGGTATGTCTTACGAATGGTGATAAGGCAGTGTCTAGCAGGTTTGTCTACTCTCATCACTATCTCCTTTGTAAGTATTCAATGGACAGGGAGTACAGGCTACATCCAAATGTCATGCCTCGCACTACAGTTTTGCACACATTACACTCAGTACCCACTGAGGCCTGTCGACTTAATTACAGGGGTGTTCATCAATGTTATTTTCTATTCCTGTTATGTCTTCTGTACCTATCAATTGCTACTACAGGTATCCCTACTTCCTTAAGTTTTTCCTGCGGCCCCATTTACTTCCTAAATTAATTATTCCCAAATACGGATCTTTAAGTTGTTTTCTTACCCCAGTATCAGAGACGATACCACTGATCTGGCAAGATTTCATCCTGAGGACTTAACATTAACACCAGACTTAGAGGATGCGGGGTAAAGACCCAACACTGCCGCCCATCGGCAGGGAGACACTAGCTGGGTCACTTAGTCATTTTGGTTTTCTTAAGCTGCGCAGCGGAGCAATGCCACCACAACAGGATACACGGGACTGCGCGGCGCTTTCACACGCGTTCCCAGTGAGAAAGCTGATAGTGCGGCTGTGAGAGAGGACTTCAGGGTGGCGGCCCGGACCCGATCCCCACCCCCGCCACGCGCCGCGGGAAGCCCGCGCGCCCGCCCCCGCCCCCCCGGGAGGCGCGCCACGCCGTGCGCGCGGAGGGCCGCAGGCCGCGCACCAAGGAGCGGCCGAGCCTCCTCCGCGCGCCGCGCACGCCCGCGGCCCGCCGAGGCCTGAGCAGCCCGGGCCCCGGGGGTCGTGCACGCCCGGCGGGGTTGGGAGGCAGCGGCGCTCTCTCACCTGAGCCCCAGGAGCGCGAAGTCCGGAGTCCACAGGAGGCAGCTCCCCGCGACCCCCGCAGTGCCCGACGCTCAGCGTCCCAAGAGCCGTTTGGGCGCCTGCGGGGCGGCCATCGCCACGCTCTCGTCACTTCCGTCATTCAAACCGCCCGCCAATGGCTGAACCAAGCCGCGGGAACCCGCCCGCTTCAGCCACCCCAGGGCCGCCGGGAAGGCCGCGCGCGTCGCCGCCCCGCCCCGCACGCGCACGCGCACGCCAATCTTAGGTAAGGCCATTATTTCTCCTGGCTGTCCTGGGGTTTCTAGCATCTGCCTCTCTCGCGCGCTGCTCCTTCCACTGCTCCGCAAACCCAGGTCTAGGAAGGCGAGCTATGTGTTTGCCGGTAGCCGTGACGGAAGCCTTAGTGTTACGGACATCATTGGGTTGTAAACCCTTTCATGTACGGACTCCATAACTCATTGGTTCTGTTACGTGCACTTAGTGAAAAGCTTTCCGAGCAGGGCAGCAGCGAGCTGCCCGCTGCCGCCGGAGGTCTGTTGCCGCTACAACATGGCACAGATTGATCTGCAGTAAATAACCTGCAATCACAGAGCGGGTGAGCACAGGGACTTACTGAGCATCTGCTGTGTGACAAGTGTATTGTGCCAGGTACAGGGAGACAAGGGTAAATGGATTACAACTTACCCAGATTTTGCAGTCTTTTACATGGGAAGGGGTGGAGATGAAAAATTGCTGACATCAGATTTGGCTGCATTGTGGACATGTCAAAGGGAGTGACGATAAAAGGCAGGGAAACTGATTAAAATACTAAAGAAAGTTAAAGATAATAGCAATGAAAATGACGAGAACTGGGTAGATTGAAGAGGCAAATGGGAAGCCAAATACCAGGAATTTGTGATCTCTTGGTTATAAGAGATGAAGGAATGGGAGAAATCAAGGATGACACCCAAGCTTGAGATTTGGCAGCTGATTGGAGGGATAACGTCCCAGTAGAGCAGAGAAAGAGAAAGATGTTTGACAAGAGAAAGTAATGAGTTAAGCTTTGAATATTTTGAATTTGAGCTGCTAAGGGGATATCTAGACAAAGCAATAAACTCCAGAAATACTTAAGATGCAAAATTAGAAGTTCCTGACACTGCTCCTGAGGTTGAGGGAAAGGAGGGTGAAGCTGGGTATGGTAGCACCTGCCTATGATCTCAGCACTCGGTAGACAGAAGGACTGCAAGTTGGAGTGCAGCCTACACTACATAGGGAATTTGAGGGTAGCCTGGATTTCAAAAGCAGGTGGTGGTTGGTTAGGGGCAGGGGAGAGTGTCACTCTTACAGGCCACTAGCTTTGTAGCAATGTTGATTATTGATTCTCCAGAGAGAAATCGAAGTAATACTTAAGTGGATGTGGTGATGAGGTCAGCTCTGCATATTTTGAATGTGTGTGCCTGAGGAACATCAAGCAATGTGCATTGGGAGACAAACCACAGAAAGAACTGGGCTAAGCATGTAAGGGTTTCATTGTATGAGTAATAAAAATGGGATGAGATCACTTAAGGAGAATTTGCAGAGTGAGAAG